CAGTATTTTCTTCAGTCCACTGCATGCTGCATTATGATCTTCTGTTACTGCTCTGTGATTCTGGTTGCCTGGTTCTCTGCTGTTGGGTCTGTTTTCGTGACCTATTACTATTATTATTATTATTATTATTATTATTATTATTATTTTTCATTTTTGTAGTTGAGAAAAATGTGTGTGAATTTTATGTTCTCATATTTATCTAAGTGCATATTCTGGATTTCCAGGTCCTGATAGAATTTGTGGTTATCCTGCATGTCGGATCTTTGAGTGGAAGGTGGTTCCCTGGGTGAGGATGTATTGATCCCGGCGGGGCTGGGAGATATCCTTGATCAAGGGATCGTTTTAGTTCTGTATTATGGCGTTCAGTTGTTCTGTATTATTAGTTGCGCTGGGGCTTGTTGTTGACGGTGCTATTGCTGTGCGTTGGTTGGCTGCATTTTTTGTTGTAGGCCCCAAACGAAGTTCGACAGGGGGAGCTGGCTTGTTGGCTTGTAGACGAGCTTTCTTTGGTGCTTGGGGTTTTTCAGGCAGCCATAGTGCCAGGTGCGCAGTTTGCTCAGGTGACAGCTTCCTCCTTTGGTTTGGTACAAGTCGAAGTGTGGTGGTCTGTGTGTATGGTTCTTAGGTGCGTTGAGTTCCGACTCTCACCCTAATGTGGTTGATGAAGTTGAGTTCAAAGATGTTTGCCTCATCGATTGACAGGATCACCAGTACAAGTGCTACTGGGGTTCCTCTGGCATTGTCCAATGACGGACATCGTGTGGAAGCTTTCGCTCACCAGCTCTTCTTTGATGAACTCAGTCCAATCTTCTAAGGGTCCACTGATAACTACCCTGAGGTTTTTTCTCTTCTGGGAACGAGAAGCAGTGGAATGGGTCTTCATTCTTTTCAAGAAAGGCTTGTATGTGTCTGTAGTCCTCGATTAAAGTGGGGTGCAGTTTAATCCCCTCGCTAGGTTGATTGTCGTGCCAAACTTAATTTTTTGTGCCTTGAAGTGGGCAGTAATCTCGTATTTGTTCTTGTTTCTTATAACAATCGGAGCGATCCTTTCCCGTGGACTTAGAGGAGCCGGAATTGTCACTGACACTGGAGGTTTAAATTTGGACCCCTTTCTGACTGGTCCTTTGGAGGCCGATGTTGTCATAGTCAGGCTGGCTGTGTTCTGGTTTTCAAAAATCTTTGCACTACCTCTAACTTTTGCTTGGGTTGTTTTTTTCTGGGCTGTCTTCACTGTCGGTAGAATTTTTCCTTCTTTTGGAATCTTCGGCGAAGGCTAATTCCATTACTTATCGATTCACCATTTTGGTTACGCGTTGGATTGTGGCAGTTTTAATATCATCCTGGGTTTGGAATGCACTAGCGGCGATTTTCAATTTTTCTTCTACGCTGCCTGGCGGAGTTTGACGTTCTCGCTTTGCAAACGAACCACGTCTTGTTTCAATGCTTCGTTTTCTTGTCGTAGCCATTGTACCTACCTCTTGTTGAAGACTCTAAATTTGTTGCAGGATCTGCTGCTGTCAATCACTGGCCGGTGGTTAGTTCATCACGACCTTTTCTTTCACTTGTCACATTGGATCACTGACCTCACAATTTAACTTCTAAAAGTAGCAGAGTGCTTGGTAGGTAACACAAAAAAGGGTAAACGAATTTTCTCAGCAACTATCCTGAGAAGGACTGTTACTCAATTCTTTTTCGTCCTCTTGGTTTTTGTTTTCTGCTATTTCCTTTCCTGTTTCTACAATTTGTTCTTTAAATCAATGATTATTGTTGTTTATGTCATCTACTTCTGATTTTTCTTGAAATCCTTATTCCTGATCCTTGGAAATACTTCTCCACTGACCACTACTTATCTGTTAGAATCGATTCCAGTCGAACTTTGATCTATGAGATTAGTTATTAATAAGTCTGGGTACTTGTTCAAATTAACTTTCTTTAATTAATTAGTAATGTCCAATTTATTTCAGGGACTGAAATTGATGATGAATTATCATGTATTGTAATGTTGACATTATATACTTTTTAAAAATATGAAAATGTCACTTTATTTTCATTCATATACAGGGTGTCCCAGGGAAAACAGTCCACCCCGATTTATTGGATTTGGGATGAGAATTTGGAAAAACGCTCGGACACGTCGATTTTTGATTTGAGGGGGAACTATTTTTCAGTTTTTTTCATCCCCGTAGTTTCAACCCCCTAGGTAGGGGACAACAACCCTTCAAATTTGAATAGGGGATAGGGGTCATGTCATATCTCTTTTTAAAGGTCTCATCGAGTTCTTTATGCCCCTAGAATTTCGTCTCATTATTTTCATCCGTTACGAAATGACAGCTTGTCAAATTCTTGAAAATAGACAATGAGTTTTAGTGGGAGCAAAAGCGATACTTACCTCCCTTAATAAAAATACTTGAAATGAAGTTTTTTCTTATTATTATTAACGAGGTGTACACGAGAATTGTAAATTGTAGGTATTTTTACTCGTATTTTTATTAAGGGAGGTAAGTACCGCTTTTACTCCTACTAAAACATAGTCCATTTCCAAGATTTTGATAAGTTGTCATTTCGTTACGGATGAAAATAATAAGATGAAATTCTAGGGCCATAAAGAACTTGATGAGACCTTTAAAAAGAGGTATTACACGACCCCTATCCCCTATTCAAATTTGGGGGGTTGTTCTTTCCCTAGCTAGGGGGTTGAAGCTACGGGGATGAAAAAAACTGAAAAATAGTTCCCCCTCAAATCAAACATCGACGTGTCCGAGCGTTTTTCCAGATTCTCATCCCAAACCCAATAAATCGGGGTGGACTGTTTTCCCTGGGACACCCTGTATATAATATTGACATTACAGACTTTCTAAAAATCTGAAAATGTGACTTTACTGTTTTTTCATTTCCTTGCTCGATTTCCCGTCCTCACTTCCCGTCCTCATTTCATTATATTTATGTGACAGGTATCGTCAAGTTTTTTTCAAAATTGGTGACAATGACATAAAAGTCAAATATTATGAACCTACATTCACATTCAATTTCATTTCTAATTTATATTGGCCAAAAATTATGGTTAAAAATAAAATAGTATACCTACTATGCTCGACAGGAAATTTAATTACTCTCTCGAGATATAGTTTATCTCGACGCTACGCGTCACGATAAACTATAAAATCTCTCGACAGTAATAGCTAATTTCCCGTCTCGGATTTTAATATACTATTTCAAATTTGCACCAAAGAAATCTTTTGAAAAAATGCCAATTATACTTTTTCACCCCAAAAAAGGCAAACGAATATGAACTTAATAGAGTATGTGGAAGAATAATATAAAAACTAAATCACATTGAAGTCAAAATTGGTACAAAGAACGTCCAATTACAGCCCCAAACAGGGAAGTTGTCTATCTCCATATCTGTTCAAGATTCACCATCGAAGATAATGAAGATATGGAAATAAAATGCAGAAATATTCAGAGCCAACCTCAACAATGTGAAACTTTTAGTTTCGCAGATGACCAGAACATACAGGTTTGACTAAAAAAAATTTAACACGTGAAAATATGACCCATTTTGAGCAAAAAAAGTTTATACTACATGGGGTCTACACTCAGCCATTTTTTAAGAAAAAAGCCTTTGACGTTTTGACATTTTTTGACGAATATTTGAAAGATAGAGAAAATTTTAATCATTACGAGATGTAAAAAAATTTAGTTTATCCAATTATTATTATTAAGTAATTATGCATTTTTAGTCAACTATAATCATGAAAAATTGAAAAAAACAACATGAAAATTTCACTCGTAAATCGGTATCTAAACATCTGGCAACATAGCACAACACACACACACTTGATTTGTCTTATGTCAGTTAGTTGAAGCATTGGAAACGCGCGTAATTCATTCTTTTTTGATAATAAAATGTTTACAAACGTCGAATATGCAGATACTTGTTTAGGTAGAATCGTTGCAAAATGCCCATTCAGCCGCCAGAATTTACAGGAAAAAATTTCCCAAGAGCAACCACCTGATGAAAGAACATTGTGCCCGTTTTACAAAGGCTGTGTGATACGGGAAGTGTGAGTGTGCAAAATATGCGTGTTGATTTGAGTGTTTTGAGAACCTTCGAACAAAAATTAATATTTTAGATAATAGAATAACAAACCAAAACGTTAACAGATGGAAATAGATAAAGTCCTTACAAAAAAAAACCCTTAAATTTACTAGTTTTATTTACATTTAAATCCTGACAGAGATAATACCTATACGATGTTGTCACGTTGTTAACATTTTTCTTAATTTAAATTCTGCGATAACTCCGAAAATACTAACAATTGACCCATGGTTAATAGGACAGTTTTAGCTTGAAATGGGCCATATTATCTCATGATAAAATATTTGTACTCATACCTGATACACCCTGTATAGTCATAAAATCAGGAAAATATAGAATTAATGACTCGAGAACCGGTTAGATACAGGGTGCTTCAACGAGGACTGAACTGGGGCTTATTTTTGACCTACCCCTGTCGAGTCCTCATTGGAACACCCTGGTACATGTGCGTCGGTGGAATGCAACAAGATTTCTTCGTAGAGGACGAACAGAAAATCAAATCTTGCAAAAGCTACAATTATCTTGGAATGAGGATAGAATGTCAGGCCAGGCCAGTAAAACATTTGAAAATACCATCAAAAGAAGAAATTTAAATCACAACTCACTGTCAAGTTGGTCAAGTTTGCCAAATGATGAACTCAGGTGGTTCAAAACATGTGCGAATTGCAACGACCTCAACAAATACTCACTTGGACACCAAGAGAAAGAAGAAAAGTGAATAATAGTTGGACGACATTGATGAGGGGATCAGAGCTGCCTGGTTGAGAAAATGGGGAATGTGCCACCAATCCCTTCCCCATTTTTCCTAGATGTTTTGCATTGCTACGAAAGTTCAAAATGCATCAAGATTGAAAATGGTGTGCATCATATTCATAGATCATAAGAAAGAATAATATCTTACCTTCAATTGAGCAAAAAAACTATGGGCCTTTTGGTAGACAGAGATGTGTGAGTGCTCGGGAGGCGCAGCCGATCGGGGTCTCGCTTCGGGCATTTCTCTAGGGCTGCTCAGTTCCGATGCCGATTTGCTCAAGTGCTTGCCGCCCATGTGTGGATTCGTGGAAAGTGCATCGTATTCGCTTATTTCTAGGGCACGTTCTGCAAACGAAATCGTTTTTAAATGCTACGAGAATTCTAATTCGGCATTATACAAAATACAAGATTTGATTTACATTTAACTTCCTGGATGCGCTTGAAATTTGCATCCTATTTGAATGTTGATGAGAAAAATGCAAATGTAAAGATCACTTCATATAAGGACCATTTTCATGCTGAATATTGTGCAAGATTTTTGAAATTGTTACTAAATACATATTATTAATTAGTTTACCCAAATAATTATTATTGCTGATATCCAAAAGTTCATATTTATCCTCGAACTCCGCCGCCCGCTTCCTCTTTTTCTTAACTTTATAGGAGCTTTTCATTTTTTTATATTTCCTTCTATCTACACATCGGTCCGTTTCGTCAATTATACACAACAAGAGACCGCAATATACGCAATTTTTGTTTTCTTTCTTAAACGGCACACACAAGTCGGCACACCAGTTTCTATTCCGAAACCACATCACCAATCTAACAGTTTTTGTGTGCCGCGTTTATATAAATTACAATTAACGACTAGATAATTTGTTCAGTTGTCCGATGACCATTCATCAATAATTATTTCGAGTTCCTTATTAGAGGACGTAATTTGAATTTTAGTATAATTATTGGGTCGCAATAGAAGTGATTAGGTCATCGCGAAAAATCGATTTTAAAAAGCTGGTGTTGTTCATTATCCAGCTCACGCAAGTGCTGGTGTTTTTAATGTTTCTTTGAAATATTTCGTGTAAAAATGTAATTAAATTAAAATTCAAGTTGAACACAAACTGTTATATGAAAATTGAACAGGTGTTTGTATATGTACGTCGAAATATTGTATAGAAACGGTAAGGTTGAAATGCTTCATAAAAATATTCAACAATATACAGGGTGTTTCACGAACATCGAAAAAGAGGCGTTTTAAGGTGTTTTAAGGTCGATTTAAAAAAAAAAACGCTCGGACACGTCATTTTTGTATTCGAGGGGGAAACTTTTTGACCTCATCGGTGTTTCGCTAAGGTGCACCTCCTTAGTGGAGTGACTTTCACCCCTCTTTTTTTAGATAGGGAAGATGGATCGAGTGGTACCTTGTTTTAAAGATATCTTGATTCGCGTCACAACTGCGTATTTTTTCGAAAATCGAATGATTATTCTTTGTCAATATATTTGTTTGTCATATAGGTACAGGGTGAGTCACCATATTTTGACACCTAACTTCATAGTCAACCATCCAAGGAACTTTTTTTTCAGTTATACATGTAAACCCCATACCTTGTGAGTGGCTTGCTTACATCAAGTCCTACAACTTTTCCTCTACGACTTTTCTCGGAAATGGCACGTATGCGCGCAGGCGACTCGCAAACATGTCGATCTGACGTAGCTATGTTTCCTGATACATGTAGGTAAATCTAATTTTACGAATACTGTTTGATTTTTATGTCTTAATCACGGAAATCAACTTGGCCGACAAAAATAATGGCAAATTGGGGGAGTCCGATACCCCCAAAATGTCGATCTGACGTGGTTATGTTTCTTGATACATGAAAATCTAATTTCACGAATAATGTTTGATTTTTATTTCTAAATCACGGAAATCAACTTGGCCGACAAAAATAATGGCAAATTGGGGGAGTCCGATACCCCTAAAATGTTTGCGAGTCGCCTGCGCGCATACGTGCCATTTCCGAGAAAAGTCGTAGAGGAAAAGTTGTAGGACTTGATGTAAGCAAGCCACTCACAAAGTATGGGGTTTACATGTATAACTGAAAAAAAAGGTCCTTGGATGGTTGACTATCAGCCGTAATTACAGGTGATAGGTAAAAAGTGTAAATACAAAACTTGTAGCATTTTATCTGAACTGCCAGAATTTATAATCAGATTGAATAAATTAGTAATGCAAAGTAAAAAAATATGTCGATGTTCACTTTTTCTAAATGAAATGCCTTTATTTTCTTTCAAATTCTTAAAGTTCTCGTTTATCTGATTCAGAATATATAATATGGTAATGTTTTTTTCAATAGTTTTGGAAATATCTGGAGTTTAGTTATTCAAAGACAGTAGTTTTTTGAATATATTTTACCTTGATTTACTTGTCACCTGTTACAAAACATTCTGATTCCTGAATAGGTCTTTGAATAACTAAACTCCAGATATTTTCAAAACTATTGCAAGAAACATTAAGATATTAATTTAATCTGAATGAGAAAAACGATAACTTCCAGAATCTGAAAGGAAATAAAGTGCATTCCATTTAAAAAAAGTGAACATCGACATATTTTTATACTTTGCGTTGCTCATTTTTTCAATCTAATTAAAAATTCTGGCGTTTCAGATAAAATGCTACAACTTTTGTATTTACACCTTTTACCTATCACCTGTAACTACGGCTGCAGGTGGGTGTCAAAATATAGTGACTCACCCTGTACATTAATATAAAAAATAGTATTTATACCGAAGTTCTTTCAAATACAACATTTGGCGACGAGGTAATCGACCGAATAACAGGGCAGATGGATAATATACAATTTCAGACAATGATGGAAACCCTTGCAAATTTATTATAACCCCAAAGAATGAGAACTGTATACGAGGAGAAAACATAAGTATCATTGGAATTTTTCAATGAGGAAAACGAAACATGGGAAATCTTTATCAAACGATTGGAGAATTTTTTTGTATGAAGAAGTTTGCAGGTATGCCGCATGAAATTAATACTAAAAAAACAGAATGGCTTATGCATACAATGAGCACAAAAACCCTTCAATTACTGTACGATCTTTGTAGCCCAGATGATCCGAAAACAAAGCCCTATACTGATCTGGTTAAATTATTATCAGATGATCATCTGCATCCAATGTCCAGCGTCATTGCTGAACAAAATCGTTTTTTTAAACGTATTCAAGGAGATAAAGAAAGTATAACAGAATGTGAACTTCGTTGACCAGTCAGAAACAACTACTCCGAGGACAAATACCCCTACCGGCGTTGAACTACACTGATTGGTCTGAGCTTTCATTGGCAATGGAAATTGTTAGAAAGATTTTTTTCAGGTAATGCCCAACGTGAATACAGGGACACTACGGTCCCTGTTTGGGAATCGGCCCACTGAGCAGTGGACTCAGGCTTTCCGTGCGTGCGTGGTATTTGTCCTCGGAGTAGTTGTTTCTGACTGGTCAACGAAGTTCAATTTTGCTTGGACAGGGAGCTTCAGCCTATGTCCTTTTGATGAGTCCTAACAAGGAAGAAACGCGTCAAGGATTGGCACGGGAAGCCTGAGTCCACTGCTCAGTGGGCCGATTCCCAAACAGGGACCGTAGTGTCCCTGTATTCACGTTGGGCATTACCTGAAAAAATCTTTCTAACAATTTCCATTGCCAACGAAAGCTCAGACCAATCAGTGTAGTTCAACGCCGGTAGGGGTATTTGTCCTCGGAGTAGTTGTTTCTGACTGGTCAACGAAGTTCAATTTTGCTTGGACAGGGAGCTTCAGCCTATGTCCTGATGAGTCCTAACAAGGACGAAACGCATCAATGATTGGCACGGGAAGCCTGAGTCCACTGCTCAGTGGGCCGATTCCCAAACAGGGACCGTAGTGTCCCTGTATTAACGTTGGGCATTAGCTGAAAAAATCATTCTAACTATTACAGAATGTATTACAGACCTCAAAAAACTAAGCAAAAATTGCGATTTCGCATGTCATAGTTGCAACACTTCAACGGTAGATGTTCACTTGCGACAACAATTTATTATTGGACCTAAAAATCAAAACTATATTGAAAACCTTATACAGTTTAGGAATCCTGATAATACCTTGGCCGAATGTGTTAAAGTAATATTAGCGATGGAGTCTGCTTACAAAGAAACGAAAGAAATTCAAAGTCCTATTACATCTAAAGACTTGCTTTCTTGTTCTTCGGGTCAAAATCAAATTAAATTACAAAGAGATATACAAGAATTCAAATTATCATACAAACAAAATTGATTTCAAAAATAATAGAAAAAAAATTCAAATATCGAGATTTGGCTCATTTGGCTAATTTTTGTCCACATACAAATTTGAAATGTACCTACAGAATGTCACAGATTTGGACACCTAGCAAGAGTCTGCATGAAAAGTTGTTCATCTAGTTTCACTTGATTACATACAGAACAAAACCAGGATAATTTAACAGAAGGACTCGAAACAAAAATCCATAAATATAACATAGAAACAGATGGAACAGAAAAGTATCTCATAAACACAATTGAAGAGTTATTTTCACCTGAAAATACAAGAAAACTGAACAAATATTTGATAAATGTTTATTTGAATTCAATACCAATACATATGGAATATGATACTGGTGCTTGTGCTGCAGTTTCATCAATGTCACATGAAATTTTTGAAAAACTGTTCCCATATACAAAAATGTTTCCAACTAATTTGTCATTAATACCCTATACTGGCGAAATTATAAATCCTATTGAGCTCAAAGATAATGAATGATTTGCTAAGCATACCTGCTCGAAAAATACCACACGCTATAGAAAAGCAGGTCATCGAACAAATTAGCAGACTGCGGAAGCTGCGGGAATTATCAGTAAGTTCGAAAATAGCGAATGGGGAACTCCAATTGTTCCAATAGTTAAGAAGGATGGATCAATAGGATTGCGTGTGCGAATTACAAAATTACCATTATTAAAGTACCTACTTATAGAAAACAAATACCCGATGCCTAATATAGAAGATATTTTTGCAAAGACAATGTTGGGTGGTAAAATATTTACAACGTTAGATACTCGGTAAGCATACTTACATAGTCAATGAATTCAAAAAGTGTAGAGATTCAAGCTATTACCACACCGAGAGGAGATTACAAAGTAAATGGGTTAATGTTTGGTACCAAAGTTGCCACAGCTATATGGCAGCGATAAATTTCCAGAACGCTAGGAGATATTCCAGGAGTATGTTTTTTTTTGGACGATATTAAAATTCAAGGATCAAATTTAACAGAAAATATTAATAAAGTTGAAATGGTTTTAAGACGATTACAGGAAGTAGGTCTAAGAGTTAACATGGAAAAATGTAGATTTTTTGAAAAATCAGTCAAACATCTAGGGCATATTGTATCCAAAAATTGTTTAGAAAAATCCGAGTAGAAAATAGAAGCTGCAAAAATGCTAGAAGACCTACCAATATAACTGAACTTAAAAGCTTTAAATATAGTTGGGAGCACTGTTGTGTATGGACCGATATACAAGTTGGTGCTTACTTTGTTAGATTGCCAGTTTTGAGTTCTTTCATTCATTCATTCATTCATTCATATTCATACCAAAGCTCTTCCAAATACAACATGTAGGAGAACGGACACTTCGCTGTCCTTTCGGGGCATGACCCTGGATGACAAGGTTTTCAATATTATCTCTTCTATAGATGGCCGAAGAAAGTCAGAGTACGCGTTGAAACAATGGAGGATAGTCATTTTGTATTTCCGAGTTCGCTGAATATGTAAACGTTAGTTTGGTGAGCTGTATAAGGAACTCTTAGCATTCTCCTCTAAGTCCACATTTCAAATGCCTCTATACGGACTATGCGGTAGCGATCTATCTGCCTTTCTAACAGTCAAGTCTCAAAGCGATACAAAAATATGGAAAAGACAAGAGACCGGACAAGCGACATTTTGGTGGCTTTCGTGATATTATTGTCACGCCATATTTTAGTTAGTCTTGTCATGACTCCTCGCAGCCACCTGAATTGTCGATCAAAGAACCGAGGTATACCAAACTCTGGAATACCTGACAACGGCCTACTGATACTGATGTTATTTCATTTCAGGATGATTGTCATGTTCAACGATTATGACCGTGG